TCTGACCTGGTTGTTAATAAATATTTATTCACAGCGGCAGCTCGGGCCCTCTTGAGCTGTCGGTTGCGGGGTCCAACTTCTCTTTTTCTGACCTAATCTTTTAGACTGATTTTTGTAACTTTATTATATAGTTATTTAGTGATTGAGACAAAAGAACTAAAAGAGTGAAGGCTGAGTATGAATTCAAGTGCCACTAGAGGTAGTTTGTTAGTATGTCTGTACTATAAAGGCAACAAATCAAATTCTTTCTCTTTCTATCCATGCTTTTGGTCCTGTTCTGATTTCATCATATCCTCGCCTTACCCGTAACGTACATAGTGGTGTGATACATTTGCATTGCTCTACATTGCCTGCAGGATCGGGACCTATCCTTTGTTCCACATGATGAGCCTGATTCTGCTTACACTGAAATAACAAATTTTATTCTGGACCTCAGTAGTAGCAAAATTAGACTCCCATCTCAATTGTGCATTGCTTTGGTTCATTCACCATCTATGTTTTGATTCACTACAATAACTAGGATATTATCAGTGATATGTGGTTGATAAAATGAAGATGTTTGGGAAGAGACCTCATTTGGATGGCTAGAAACAATGTTTGCTTTTATGATCGTAGGGATTTCTTTTCCATTGTTCTGGTGATGTGGGGAAGAAAAGAGAGACCTGTAAATGATGCTCTCTAGCAACATCTATCAATGTTCATCAGCCTGTTGTTTGGTCCATAAGACATACAAAGGTGGTTTATAATGCCGTTGAAAAGAGGTTTTCTTGGGTTTTTTTTTCATTTCCACTCATGCAGAGTTAGATATGCCAGAATGCAACTGAAATGGGGAGAATAAATAAGAAACAATAAGAAAGAAAAAATAACTGTTAAAAATTGAGTACATGTTTTATTATAAGTGCATATAGTTTTGGTGGCTCTACACAATGTTGTCCTTGAGTTTTAGTAGATTGAAAAGCACTGGGCCTCTGATTAGTACTGGTAAACCTTGATGTGCTTTTACTGCTTTCAGTTACTTGGAAACATTTGTCTTAATATTTAATTTGTGAGAATATATTTTCTATAAGCTCTTTTGCCATCCAGAGCTTCAGTGTTTCAGAGGAGAATGAACAGTGGCCCTTGCTTCATACTTTACTAAGATTAGGATATTTTAGCATTACAAATGAGGCAATATTTGCTATTAATTTCTTCATACTCTTCAACTTCTTCATTCCAGTGTATTTCTGCTTAAGTACCCTGACCCTGTACTCTTTCCTCTTCTACTAAAGCTGATAGTGCATTTAATTGTTTAAAGCAGTGATAGCCACTTCTGAATTTGCTCCTGGGAAAACAGTGAATCTTAGAAGCTTCTACTTTATGCAGAAAAGAGTAATTTACTGGGTTTTTGGTTAAAATGAAGTGAAGCAACTGATAGCTACAATAAATAATAGGGAAAAAAAATTCATAAATTCAGCAATCTTTAAATATTTTTCTTTTATCCCCCAACCAGTGTATATTTACCCAGACCTGTATAGGCATGCACAGTTAGTTTTACACTCACTAAAAATTTAGGCATTGTCTTCATTATGTCCAAGAGCAAATCCTGGAGATCTGACCTCTGTGTATAAAATAAAGATGACTAATACGTTCTTTTCAAAAGTCTGGTGAAATGTTTCTGGTGATTGTTGGTTTGGGTTTTTTTTTTAATTACAGTTAAAGTGTATTTCCAGAGGCACTTCTTAAGAAGTTTTCATCTGAAAGGATTTTTGTTCCAGGCTGCTGCTGACGAATTCATAGATTGATAGTTACCATCCCGTGATGCAGGAAAATTTGCTTGAGTCCCGTTTCTGCCAGACTTTGAAAGTGGTTAACCATTGAGGAAAGAAACTTATACACCTTACTTGACAAACTGCATTTCATATAAATCCTTGGACAGTTTTGTTTTTATTCTAGTGTGAAGGAATTTCAGATCTCAAAACCAGATACAAGTAGGAATTGTTACCCTCAAGTCAGCTCCTCTCATCTATCAGACTAATGTCAGTCTAAATATCTATAAAGCAGAGAGGTAGAACTAATATTTGTTTGCTTGTAGTCAGAGCTCAGAGAATCTGAGGAGCGAAGATGTATTTCTGAAGAACAAAAAGATGCCCAACTCCCTAGAAAATGTAGTGGGGAAAAGGTGGGTTTCTGTATTGGCTTCTTGTGCAAAATGGGTGTGATTGCAGGTCTTAGTACCCTTCCCGACTAGATGGGCCCCTACATGTTTTTAGAAGAGTTGGATTTTCTACCTGAAAAGTAGAGCTCAAGATTTACCTGCAGAGCTCTTTGCGGTGGCAGTCAGTCACGTTCAGAAATGCTTTAGAGCTTGGTTTCTCTCTCCTCTGGAGCATTGAATGTGACAACTTGATAACCTCCTTTTCTCTTCCTGTTTCCCTCAGCCTTGTAAAGCCTATGCGACACTATACAGTCTTCCTCTCTGAGGTCAGGAAGAAGATCCTGTCTCTGGCTTCTCTGAAAACTTTTTCTTCTCTGCTCCTTTTGAATGGTCTATCCTTTATTCTTTCATTGTATTAATTCAGATTTCGAACAATGGGTTTTGCATTGGTCAGGGTGCCTGCTCCTATACTTGGAATTTGGAAATGCTCCTGCAGTCTCTGTTCGGCGCTTGATGAATGTTCAACATTTCTCCTGCTTGTTTGTTTTGATATTTAGCGGCATGCAAAAGCATACTCCTGCATGAAACACTATGCAGCAATGCACAGCTTATGGTTTTACATCGACTCGAGCTCTGTGGGATGTAACCCTTCCACTTGCCCTTTGTTCCAATGTGCTGCTTGTGTTCCTGTCCAAACCTTCTGCCATTCTTCCTTGTGCAGTGCTAGCTGTGCTTTTTGGATTGTCCTGTGAGCCTTATTTAGTGCGGTTATTGGCTTTTTCTTGTTTCACTTGCTTGATCCCAGCCTCTCTGTTCTGTCAAGTGCCACATCCTCAGTGAGTATGGGGAGTCGCCTTGCAGATGTCCTCCGAGGGTTTTGAGTACAATCTGACCTAAAATTATACAAGAAACAGGAAGCAGTTTGTTGGGTTTACTCACTGTATTATTTGTATCTTTTTTAATTTGTAAATTGTTGTAAATTCCCAAACCTCTGTAACTTAGTCTTGCCTAGTTTTGAAACATGGTGCTGAGCAGCTTGGCTGTATTGCAGCTACCCATCTGTGAGAACTGTACGTTTAAGCACTGGCTGCAGGATTCCGCCACCTGCCCAAGGTCCCATGTTAGGGGAACAAGTGTTGCCTGTCAGCTCCTGTTTACCTGGCCTGAGCGTATCTTTTTGAGATGAGAGTAACGCTGTCACGTGGAGGGTGCACACTGATGCAGCTCTTTCTGCATATTTGAACATACCAACCCCGGAGGGAGGGCAGTCTTGAGCTAAGGCCTCACTGAATGTCACCCAGAGGATTTGTTTCTAACCTCACCTGTTTGAGGATTTCTAGGGCGAGAAAGGGAGATAAATTGCACAGAATTACACTCAGTCTTTTAACAAATGCAGTTACTGGCTTGACCAGAACCTGTAGGAAGAGGTGCCAGGGTACTGTGAGCTGCTGCTTCAGAAATCTGCATGATGCCAGATCAGGGCAGTTCCGGGTGCTGGGAGATGGATGCCCAGGCACATCTGAGCAACTGGAGCCTGCCAGATGCCGTTGTGTTAGACTAGGCTGGAGACAAAGGCTGCCAGTTTGATAGCTAAAATTCATTGTGTGATGCAGAAGGCAGGTTCAGAGACTGACAGGGACTGCAGGCAGTTGGGCATGGGGAGACAGACATATAGGTTCAGTAGCAAAGGGCCAGAAAAATGTTCCCACACTCTTGTGTTTGGGGTGGAGGAGGCCAGGCCACTAAAATGGTTTCTTTGCAGAATATTCCTCAGGGGTTTTTTGCAGTGTGATCTAATGCTTAGCAGATGAGCACGTATTATGTGAGAAACTAAAGATACGACCGAGATTTGCAAGATCACCCTCTTCCTAAGGAAATGTACCATCAGTTGTCCGTCTCATACTTGCATTATCACATTCTTGTGTTGCTAGCTGGAATGCCTGCTATTTATGTGTTGATGAATGAAATAAGATGGGCTGTTTATAAATTTGCATGATATAGATGTATTATAATAAAATATGGAAAGAGGAGGAGGGTTCTTTCGTAGTATCTGGTTTTGCAGGTCTCACAAATATTTTTTTAATTGAAACCTCGTTTAAATGCCACAGTAAAACTGGCTGCCAGTCAAATGCCAATCACCACAGATATGTATGGCACTTCTTGTTATTAATTGGATGCGCATTATGCTGCTGTTCTCTGTACACAGAACCAATATGCAAATCTGCTGGTGTTCATTTTTTTGCTGAGGTATGTGCAAGAAAAGCATCCTGCTAACTCAGCCTCGGCTGTAAATGTAAAATAGGTGTCTCCATAATGGATTGTGTTGTTTCTTGATAAAATGACACAAATGTAATCATTGGAACTCTGCACAGCGTTCCCAATTATTGCAGGAAAACACTGAATTATGTTCTGTGCTGAGTTAGCTTGAAGCAAGAGAATGTAAGTGCCTGCAAAACACAGGGCACTTTGCAGTGCACCTGCTCTGGCTTCTTGTGTAAAACGACTGAGCACAGAAGCAGTGGTCCGCCTGAGGGAGAGGGCCAGACTGTCAAAATGGAGAGCTGGCGTCCAGTTATTCCTGCTCCCTCATCAGCCTGTCTGTAACTGCATGATCACAGCTTTCCTCTGAGTACTTCCCACTTATGTCTTTTTCCTTTCTGAAAACCCCTCGAGTGCCAACTCATCTTTGTATGTCCTTCTGCCCTTGGTCACTTTGCTCGCACACCTGCTGTTCACAAGGCGATGTCAGCTGTATTTTGCCACCAAAAGCTTTTTGTAAAGCCATCCATCTCCTTAGTAAATACTTGTTTAAAAAAAAAAATTAGACAGACAGTCATTTGCAACATGATTTTTGTTTCTCTCCTAGGCCTCAGCCGTACCGGGCCCTGAAAGAATCTGATAGTGCTGATGGGGAAGAGGCGGTCAGTCCAGAAAAATCAAAAGAGCCTCTGCCTCCAAGCCCTCTGCTCTCAAGCAAGGCCACAGAAATCAACCTTCTTGAAGACATTTTCCCTAACTTAGAAGTAGAAACACAGCCTCAGCCTCTCAGCCAAGCTAAGAGCCTAGAAGACCTGCGGACTCCCAAGGAAGAGGGAGATCAGCGATGCACATTTGATTACCAGGTTTGGACAGGGTTTCATGTATGCTGGGGGGTTTTGCACAGAGCTAGGGCTGGCTGTCTTCCATTATTCTCTTTTTCGTATCATGGGGTAGATGCATCCATTTTCCAGCCATTTGTTCATGCGTTTCAAAGTTCATTTCTGAATTAAGAAATTATCAGAATGGGACTCAGTTATAAGACAGTAACTTTTTCCACTAAAACTATAGCCTTTACTTCTAAAGGAGGAAATATTTGCCCTATTCCTCAGAATCTGTTTTGTCCGTTGGCTGTCACACAGAGTTATCTTTGAAGCTGATGCTCAGCAGTGAGAATGAATACCTGGGAATTTCCAGGTCCCCTCTGAACTGCATGTTTTTTAAATGACCTTTTAATGTGGCCATTTTGATCTAGGCATCATTTGTACAATCTAGATTGCAAAAGAGAGATTCTTTATGAAGAACTTCACTGAATATGTGCAGCTTAGAAAGTGCCAAACTAGAGCAGACTCTGAGATCTTCATGTGGCATGAATGAAAATAATGTCATTTCTACCTTATAATAATATTTAATTTAGTGTTATATGCAGATATTTCATTTGACAGCTTTCTCCATGCAGCAATTAAGGCTTCTCAATTTCTGTACCTTAGATACAGGTATATGCTCCTTACTTGGCTAACAACAGATGCCACAATATGTCACAGCTGAACAACTCATTAGAGGCAGAGCTGGAATTAAAACTGCAGAGTCCTGCTTCTGATTTCCTGTATGTCCGTCTAGGCTGCAGGCTGTTGTCCCTCTCCACTGTTCACAGTCTGTGGACAGATCCTGTTCCACTCATAGCTCAGCAGCCTGTCTTCACTTTATGCTCTATGTTGTGAGATCAGTAAAAGTTAACTTTTTTTTTTATGCTTTCTTGCAGAGAATGGACCTTGGTGTGTCTGAGAGGAACAGGATTGTGCCAACCATGAAGCTGTCTCACCCTTACAACAAGCTGTGGAGTATGGGTCATGATGATATGGCTATTCCGACCAAGTATTCCCAAAGCTCACCGGAAAGGCCCTTGACCGCACTTGGTACCATGCCGCCAATCACAAGGAGACCCCGAAGCAGAGACAGCATTCTGGCTCCTGCAGAAAAGGATGACTCAAATCCTGCCGTTCAAGGGAACATCACCATTCCCAGACCACAGGGTAGAAAGACTCCTGAACTGGGGATAGTGCCACCACCACCAGCACCCAGGGCTTCTAAGCATCAGACTCCAGCTGGACCAACAGAAATTCTCACTACTCACACTACAGGACGTAGCCATTTGGTTTCAGATCTTATCCCAGAGCCCTTTGGAGTTGGTAGTGTGTCCTTAGACCCTGAAATCCAGCAGTCTGTAAATTATTCCTCTCATCCATCTCAGCTTTTATCCAGTGCTACCAGCACCGCTGAGATGCTCCAACCTGTCAAGGTGAAGACAGATAATACAGGTAATGAAAGCGACTACCTTCTTAATCTCCTGGATCCATTAAAAACAGCCAGCTGGCAAAGCAGTGGCCCACAGCAAGGTCCCCGCAGCCTGCAAAGCTCAGCCACTCCACCTTCTGCTGCTAGCTTTGTCTCAGTGGCAAGTGACTTTGTGCCTCCTCCAGCTGCACCATTTGTCCAGCCACTTGGTTATCCTTCCCCAGCACCACCACCTTTTTTACAGCCATCTCCTAATCCATTCACGCAAACAGTGCCAGGAGCCCTTTCAGTGTCTCTAGTTAGACCCCCAAGGGGCTCTTTCACCCCCTCTTTAGGTCACGCTTATAGCTCTAGCTTCATAACACCTAATTCTAGCTTCTACCCACCACAAAGACCTCAACCAAACATTTCAACACTATCCATGCCAAACTTGTTTAGCCAGGCTCCAGCTATGCCACCAGCTAGCTCCTTATTGCTGCAGAGCCACAGCCCTTCTCCAACAAGCTCTCTACAGCCAGCGTGTTTAAGTGGTCCTTCTAAAACCAGAACGTTACAGGTGGGCCAGTCCAGCTCAAAGGTAGATCCCAAACAAGCACTAGCTCTCCTGTCTAATGAACCCCCTTTGATCCCTTCCAGGCCAGCTAAGGGCTTAGAGTCAGTGTTACTATCCTCAAAATCTGAGGAGACAAAAGATCCATTTGAAGATTTGTTAAAAAAGACAAAGCAAGACGTGTCATCCACGCCAGGTAAGGTTGAACAGCTCAGAAAGCGATGGGAAACCTTTGAGTAACGCTCCCAATGGCCTTTTGATGTCCCTTTGGAATTGACTGAGGGTTTTTTGTTTTTTTGAGCCAGCATAAAACCAAGCATTTCTTTTATGGAAGGCTGAGCCAGGATAGCTGCAAGACCATCACTGTGCTGCAATTCACACATGAGCGCTTTTTGCCCAGAGTTCAGAGTCCCCCCCATTGTCCTGGTCCCTGCAACTGCTTCCTCACTCTCCACCACTGAAAACCCCTGTGACTCTTGCACTGACCAAAGCATGAGGGTAGTTGGGTTTGGGTTTTGGTTTCGTTTGATTTTCCACACATAGCTTTTCAGACAATACTGCTGAGGAGAAGTTACTCCTTACCTTGTATTTTCAGTCCTTAGCACAGCCGGGAGCATGACACGGCATATTGTACTAGTGTTCCCTTCCTGCCTGTGTGCATGGTGTTCAGTTTTTCTTGCATTACACATACAGCTATCATGTTTTGCTTTCACATGTAAAGTGCAGCAAACAAACCCAGACTTGTGGTCTGCACTGAATTGGGCTCCGAGTTTGTCCTGTCTTGAAATACAGGCATTCATTTAGGTTATACTAGGTGAGCTTTTGTCACAGATTTTTGATTTCCCTCCCCCAATACACTGACACTAGAGGTAATAGGGACCTCTCTGGTGCAGAATTGGCATAATTCCTTGTTGCAACAAAACCGTAGCACAGAGCAGTTGCTCAGGGTTTGGTCTTGCATCTCTGTTGGGAAACTGGAAACACCAGCAATTGATTTTCTTTTTTGGGTTTTTGTTTATTTGGTGGGGTTTTTTTTTGTTAAATACATCAGAAAATAGAGGCCATAAAGAGTATCCTAGTTCTTATATATGTGTATGTTAATATTACATATAAATATTATAGATGGCAGTATATGAATGGGATGTAACAATATCTTACTTGACTATTACAAACAAAAAAAAAAAAGAGAAAAAATTGGGGTATAAAAGTTCCCAGCTCATGAGTTCAAGTTAAATGCCAGTGTGCTGACAAGATGGCCTGAGTGCAGATGGATTAAAGCTGCAGTGCTTGTACAGGCAGAAGCCAGACTCCAAGTTGAGCTGAGCAAGTGCTGTAATGCTGGGAGGCCAATGCATGACAGCTGCCTGTCACTGCTGGACTTCAGAAGTGCTAATTGCTGCCTTGAAGCAACTGGGATTTCATTCTGGTCTGCAAGGCACTCGGCTCCTTCAGTCTGTCTGAAAAACCACAATCTTTATCCCGCTGTTGATGACAGCCGTTTGCTGGTATAACAAGACATTAACTGGACCATGACATGGACTGTGAGGTCACGAACTACAAAAATGCGATGAAAACGTTAAAGGGTACGTTCATTCTGATTTTCTAAGACACTTATCTGTGGCAATAGTATTCTCAAGAAACTTCACCTTAATCTTAGCATCCCTTATAGAACCTGCTGTCTTTGCAGTGATCGTTTTTGTTTTACTTAAGTGGTGCTTTTTTGTTTTGTTTTGTTTTGTATTTGGGCACAATCTGATGTAAAACATGTTACTCTAGAAGAGGTAATCACATCACCATTAAGCCTTTGATAAAGGAAATCATTTTGGACACATGGGGAAATTCTTGTAAAGCTTTATCTGATTTCCAATGTATCTATTTTATTCATATAATCTTGGAAGTTTTCTTACTCTAGTGTATGAAAATGGCTGTCTATGCGTTTGAGTCTGTGCAATACAAAGGAAAAATACTCTTAATATCTGAAATGCCAACAGTTTGGGAAAAACCATAGTATTACATTAATATTATATTTCTGTAAAGTACTGTTACTCTGACAAGCCATTCAGTTGGATTTGTATTTTCTTTTTGTGTTGGAAGACAGATGGTTTTAGTATTGCATAGTAAAATATTTAAAGTCTAAGATAATAGCTCCATTTTATTTTATACAGTTCAGAATATGAACGTTATATATAAATTCAGTCTGGAATTTCAGATCTCCTTTGCTATGAGCTACATGATAAAACTTTCTCAGGTATGGTGGATATGTACAGGCACCAGAAAGTTCTGCATACGACATGCCATTTGAATTTCACATACCCTTTTTTAAAATTTTTAATGTCACACACTGGTATATACTGAGTAGGCCTATTATGCATGCTTAGCTAAATAGAAAAACCCTCAGGTAATTCCGTATCACTGCAAATCCTTTTCCATCTCTGAGTATTTTACTCTGCCCATATTATGGAATATTTTATGCAGCTGATTTTTGGACAAACAAGCACTCTTGGATGATTTTTTTCTTTTTTTAAAGTCAGTTTTGAGGCACTGAAAAGTATTAACACAAATGGCATTAATCACCCTTCACTTTATTTTGAAGGGGGGAAAGGTGGGAGGTTGAACACACCTCTGACATCCAGGAACACAAGGCAGCACTCTCCTGGAGTTTGTGACCTTCCTCACTTCTTGAATAGAATTTGCAAGCAGGAGACTTGTTTACGTGCTTCTCATAATAAAGGAATCAAACTATCCCTAGGGCAGTATTTAGTTTTTTTGTCTTATTTAAACTCAGGAATTCCTAACATGATTCATTCCTAATAGTGCCAGATGTAAACAAAGCGTGCTTGTCTGGGAGAGCAAGCTCGGATGTAAAACATTTCTTTTTCTGATGTAGAAGTATTTTTGATGTTTTTACTAATCTAGTATAAGCAGTGTTCCTTTTACTTCTTGTCTGGTACTATTCATCAATGACTTTATATGCAGCTTTGTACATTTTCCTGTACTCACTGTACTTGTTTGCTTGTTTGGTACTGCTTTGCTTATTTACAGGTGCTTTCTTCCATTAGAAATAACTTTTATTTAAAAAAAAAAAAAGACACTCAAGTTTCTGATGCATCTGACGCTGTACAGATGGTAAAGCCATTTTTATATCTTGTTCACTCATTAGGTAAGAAACAGTTTAGACACTGCAATTGGCAACTGTTGAGACATGCAAGAATTTTATTGCTGAAGACCCTTCTCTCATTACCTTACATAATTATGAGAGGCTTGTGATTTCTCTGCACGTACTAGGGATTCTTTTTCTAACCTGCAATGAATGGTCTGAGCTGCTTAAATATCCCCCCCTGCTTTTTTGTGTGTGTGGAAAAAATCAAGCAGGAGATTGACATCTGGCCAGTTTTCTTTCTGGTTAGGAGGTGGTAAGAGTCTGTCAGTAACAAATGACTGCAGTATTTCAGGAGAAATAACATCCCTTTAACCAACCATAGGAACCCACTGATTCAATGACACCCTGAAGAAAGAAGTGTGTGCAGTAACATTTCTTTTGTTAAATAGGAATGTTTCACGCACTGTCTTCAAAAGAGCATGTAAGTACATGATTGCTAACTGCTTCCTAAACTCTGTCCATTTGCACTGCGGCATTTAGTCTAGTCTACATCTAATACTATTTTTTAATGTGTTTTGCTCCCTGTACACTTACTATGCAGGCTTTATGATCAAACTGATTTTTCCAACGTCAGCAGATTAAATTGGTTAGTAGTGAACAAGAAGCCTGTTAGTTGCTGCGTCTTACAACATGCAGGTTACAAACAAATTTTTTTTTTTTTTTTTTTTTTTTTTTTACTTTGCTTCTAACTGTTGGAGGTTAACAGGTTTAGGTATTTAAAAAGTGAACCAGTGAAGACAAGAGCTGCTGCAGTCCCACCCTGTCCTTTGGGAACAGCAATAGGTCGTGGCGATGTCTGAGACAAATTTCTGACAATGGGAACTGCACTGCCGGGTTCCACTGCAACTGAGCACAGGTCTGTGACAATCCTGTACCTATATTTTCAAGTGGCTCCATGAAATGGCATTATAAAACAAAAGTGAGCTTGTGATTCTTCTTGTAGCACTGTAAAATTAATTGCTTGATGAGAGTTACAAACTTTTGCAGAGTAGGGGCTATACATAATCTCACCATTCTTTTAACGGAAGCATAAAGATGGAGCAAGGGCGTATGACTATAGGTAGAGCTCACTTTGAGTGACGTATAAATTTCCTGTGGCAAGTTTGCTTAGGTTATTGCCAGAAACCTTGTGCATTTCCCAGGCGGCTTGGGAATTACATTCCCAGGGACATAAACTGAATTGGCTGCTGTCTTTTGTAAACTGAACCCATTGTTAGTCTTGGCCTATTACACTCTAGTGTGCGTTTTGATTAACTATCTCTGGTTTCAGGCTTACCTGAGGTTTTTTTTTAGTGCAGCAGTTATTGCAGTGCCGAAGTGACTGTCACGTCCCATGATGTAGATGTCTTGCCGTATGTGGCAGCAGAGTCGACGTGCATTGAGTGTGGAGCTGGCTTTATTTCTGTGAGGTGCGCTAGTCTCTAGGTATAGCCTTTTATTTCACTGCACATGGATATCTACAGTTCCCAGCAATCAGTGCAGCCACCTGAATTACATTCCAGTCCTTTATTTGCACATTCTAATCTCCTTTCTGTCTGCTGTTCCAGTTCAACAGGCTGCTCGCTAAGCTCTGTCCATGTGACAGCTCTCCGGCCAGGAAGGGCTCCCAGCTTGTCCTGCAGCTCAGCTATTGTGGTAAAGACTAAGACATTCATCCACTCTAGCTTTCTCCCTTCTGCTGGAGATTGCTTGTCTCCCGTTCCTCCAAAAGAGGATTTCTGCTGCTGCAGAAATCTGTCCTGACTCATGCCACAGGATCCAATGGCTGTTAGGTATTTCATGGCTCCACAGTCTGATTTTTGCCTTTTTGCTCAAGAAATAGGGATTAATGGTAAAGTGTAGTAGCACATGCTTCAGTACAGGTGAACAGAAAATACAGCAGGTTTCAACAGCCCCCTTCTACGTTTCTACAACAGATCTTTGGCTGCTGTGCAGATCTGCTTCGTTCAGGTCTATGCGTAGAGCTCTGGTGTGTGACAAATAAAAATAGTCAGAAATTTAATAAAATTTTAACTGTAAAAGAGGCATTGAGATTTGCAGCTATGCAAACTGTGTGTTACAGACCAAAATCAGCCATCTA